TATGTACAAAAAAAGCGCTTGTATGATTACGAGTCAAATCACGCGATATCTAGCGAGATTTTATGAGAGTGGCTTCAAAAATGGATACCCAAGCGAACCAAAAATACTTTAGACGCAGCTTTTGTAGAAAAGCGGTAGATTTCTGAATTAAATCGGTAGGCGGGAGATGGAGTGAAAAAGCGGTAGACTCCCGCCTAAATCGGGAGAGTTAACATGTATGACAATACGAAAAATTAAAATTTGAATTTAAATTAAATTATTTAAAATTAGCAGATTTAATTTTTCAGCTAAGTGAACCTTGTTCTTTATATGTTCTACTTCTAAGGTCTATATGTTTTTTGAGCACTTTTCCTAATTACATTTTTTGAGTTCCTATTTATGCTCCATGTAAACCTTTGATCCAGTAAATAGGCCCCATTATAACCAAATATGTTAAACTTAAATACGGGGTACAATGTACTTTATATTAATTTTTGTCCACGGCTCAAAGTAGGGGATATACATTTCAGTCTGTCTGTCCGTCCACGTCCCTCTATCCGCCTGTTTGTCGGTCCGTCCGTCTGTCTGTATTATTGCATTTCTGTAACACTTCGTGAGCATTTGCAATGAAATATTACACAACTCCCTATGGTTTAAGGAAAATTCTAATATTTGATTTTTAAGTCAAAAGGTCAAAGTATGTTTTTACACTCGTTTCAACGCGATATCTCGATAAACCTTTCAGCTTTTGCAATGTCATTTTACATCACAACTCCCTATGGACTAAGGGAGGCACCTAATTATTTTAAGGTCAAAAGGTCAATGTCGTAAATTCATAAATTCTATGTAAATGAAATATATGGAGATAACGAACAGTATTCAAGCTCAAAAGTTCATAAAATAATACAAAATAGGAGCAGAGCAAACACAGACCTCCAAAACATCAGAGGTGGGAGCAGGTGCCATGGGGAATTGAGATCCTTGTCATGATTGGGAAAGAAATCCGTCATCAATTCAGTGTATAAATAGTAAACTAAAACCAGTATCAGAAACGTCAGTCAGCATTTAACTCAATGATAAATTGTATTATACGAAATGGTGACTTAAATCGTGACTGCCGATATTCTTGTTTCGTCAACTTATTTGTCAATAATTACCTCGTTTTAGAAATTGTTCATTCAAAGAGCATGCCCCTTGCGTATCGAATCAACTCAGAGATATAAACTCCGTATGCAAGTGATGCGTAAGTAAGGGAAGTTGTCGATTGAATAGTTAAAGACATGACGTTTATCAAATAGCTTGGATTACCATATGCTCTAACCTGTTTTTCAAGTTAAATATCCAAATATGGAACAGATGTGTCAGACTCTGTGGTATCTTTTATCTTAAGCTTTACCTTATCGACATAAGATTTGAAATTACCATTGTTAACTGACTATACGTCGTCGATATAGCTAAATGTCGAGTTGAAAGCCACAGCAAGTATGTGTATAAATTTCATTTCCAGGCAATATCTCAAGAGGATTTTGCGTTTTTGCGATTATATTTTAAACCATAACTCCCTGCGTCCCTGCCCTTCTAAAAGCGGCCCACCTTCCTCCACCCCCTCCCGATCAGCGCATTCTCGTCTTCTTTTCCTTTAGCTTGGGACACAGAATCTCTGAATTAACTTGTGATTTCTATGAACCTTTACGAAGTTACCTTTTAAACATTTTCTTAACAAATCTATATAACAAAACTCTCTAAAGGTGATTCCATATTAGTATCATGTCAAGAAACTTTCATATACCATTGCATTTATATCTTTTCTGACCTGCATGATCCTTATATATCGATGTGTTGAGAGGTTTAATATGATTTTGATATTTTTTTTTTTAAATTCCGCGGTAACCATATCTAAATCCTCTTTATCTCAAACAATGATAAAGTCCTTCTCAAAGATAACCTAAAAAGTTTTATCTAGTGATGTTTAATGTCAAGTATAGCCAATGTAATCAGGGACAACGACAAACTACATTTATTTAAAGCCTTTTGCTAAGAAGAGCTGATAGCATTTCTGAAACTTGAACCGTTTCATCAAGATAAACTGACATACCAACATTTAGCCCAATACAGAAAAAATCGCGGAAAACCCTTAAAATAGTAAAGGTCGTAATTTCGTCAAAAATCGATGAAGGGGAACAAAATATAAACATGATCTGTAACTTATTATGATTGATTGATTGATTGTTGTTTTCCCATTCGAGAATTTTTCACTCATATAGAGACGTCACAGTATACCGGTGAAGAGCTCCTGATTGTTTTTACTTTTACTTGGCACTCGGGGTCATTGAGCAGTGAGGGATCTTTTTCATGCCAACACTTGCCGTTACATAGAACCTCAATTTTTAAGGTCTTATCCGAAGGACCCACAAGTTTCACTTCAAAGTGCCAAGCGCATGGCGAAGGAACAGCTGCTTCCCATTTGTTACAGACTTAGGTCAGTCGCGGCCGAGATTCGAACTCACGACCTTCCGATCACCAGCTAGCGATCTACGGACTGAGCTACCGTGTACAGTGTAATTTATTATGACAGTCCCTTCCATATATTGATATATTTTGGGGTTTTTTAATATATCTAAATATTTTACAGATCAAGTTTGGGTATCGTTACGTTTCAGTGATTTTTAGTGAGATACGGTGTTACAACGCACTTTGAAAAATTATGCATTTAATAATTATTACAAATTGATTCTCTCAATAATTAGAATCTAAGTCTAGAATTTTTTGTTTTATACATATTTTTTTTCAAAGTGCGTTAAATGTCCCCATGGTAAAAAATCTTTATGTGCACTCTTAACGCACTTTGAAAAAAAATTCAAAGTGCGGTGCGTTGAGTGTGTCCCAAATTTAACGTACTTTGAAAAATGTTTTCAAAGTGCGTTAATTTTGTCCCAATTTTAACGCACTTTGAAAACATTTTTCAAATTGCGTAATTTTTTCAAAGTGCGTTGCCACAGGCCACCATTGACTCAGGACTCACGTCGAGGAATAATCTAATAAATAATTTTAGGGTTTTACAAACCAGCTTACACTTGTCGGTAAAGCCATAGCATTGCAAATGCCTGCTGTAAGAAAGCTCTTACTATTAAAGCAAAATATGGTTATCTGCTTCGTATGGAATTAATATATATCTTCTAGTTGATTTGATACGGAAAAGTAGGCTCTTCCTACCAGCAAGTTCTTAACCGACGGACGCTTTTGATAGATTGATTAGATACATGTAGATACCTATTTTGTATACTACATACATTGTTACAATAAACGTTCAACAAGATAATATGAGGATGAAATATATGAAAATACAAAACAGTATTCAAGCTTAAAATTCCAGAAAAGAAAACACATTTTGGAGCAGCGCAGACTAGGACCTCTTAAACATCAGGGATTGGACCAGGTGCCATGGAGGAGTGAGCATCCCCTGCCGACCTGACACACCCACAGTGTACTTCTTGTCATGATCGGGAAATAACAGGAAAAAATTCCGTCTACAATAATAACCTAACAATTAGTATGAAGAATGTCAGTCAGCATTTGACTTACTGATAGATTGTATTTGCCGTTAAGGTCTTTTTATTTGCCATAGAACTTGCGAATTGATGACTTTAAACGAGACTAAAAATATTTTTCAAAGTAGGTCAAATATTAGGGTCAAAAGATCAAAAAGTATAGCATGCTCGGAAACATTTTGTCACAGGCAATGCAAATATTAAATTCGAAAGCCTTTTCATATCTCTATCAAAAGTAAGAAGGAAAGATAACATTTTTTAAAAAAAAGTTGTTCAAACTTTAAGATCAAGGTAACGGAGAAAATTCATAGGGTATTTTAGAAAGGTCTAATCACAGGTAATACAAATGTACAATATGAAAGCCCTAATTTCTCTCTTCAAAATTTGTTTTTAATCTAAAGTTATGGCACTGTCTCTTCTCATTCAAAAGTTATGAAAAAAGGTTAAACTTTTTGAAAAAGTAGTTCAAACTTTAAGGTCACGTTACTAATACACTGAATCGTAAACAGAGCCAAGACATGGACCCCTTGAAAACACCAGTGGTGGGATCAGGTGTCTTGGAGAAGAAATAATCCTCTTTCTGTAATCCATATTTTATCAGGTACGTAGATGGAGTATTCCGTAGTTAAAGTATAAAACAATAATCTAACAAATTGTGCAAAAAAGAATTAGATTAAATAAGACTTAAAAATAGGTTGAATTTAAAAGAAAAATCATTATTATGAACGTAGAGTTTTCTTTAAATCCAAGTAAAATTTATCTTACTTGTCAGCAGTTTGCTCGATTTTTAAGAAAAAGGTATCCAAAGAGTAATTTTTTTTATTAAAGCAGTGGGAGATATAACACCATATGGGGCACTGTTGGAATATTGCCAACTACAGGTATAGAAGGGAAGATGAAGATAAAAATTTGAATTCATCCTGTTTGTAAGTTAATCCTTTATAATTTTTATGTCATCTATTAATTATCAATTCAAATATATGTGAATTTACGAACAGGTGTAGCAAAGATGTCTATAACTTAAAGCAATATGAGCTGCATGTTCGACATCGAAAAAATAATTGCTGCCAATTGGTAATTAATTATTTCAATGACAGAAAATAATAATGTTAATAAACTTCTGTTGTTCATATTTGTGATGGAAGAACTATTTTAAGCTTTGATTGAATCAAAAATAAATTACTGTCGTCCTATACAATAATGATTTCTTATATAAAACTGTATATTGGATTGTATATAGAAGTCTTTCTTCTGCTTTATTTTAGTCTTATTGATCAAAAAGGTTTAAGTAACAAAAATTTATCATAATAACACTTTTTAACGGCAAAATTAAATTTTCAAAAATGCAGCTCATATTGCATTAACGTCTATAGGTGCAGTAAAGACTGTGATATTTGGAAATTTTAATTAAAATTCATTTAGATAAATGAAGGCCTTCTTTAATGAATATAAAGTTAATAACTTTTTACATACATGTGTCAAGGAATTTATCCAGTACAGCTGGGTCATAGGCAATCACATTGTCTAAACTGTTGGTGTCTGAAATAATGTCTCAGTGAGAAATGTTTCAGCAATTTCGGAATGCAATAATAATGAATAATAATACTATGTAAGAAATATGCTACCGGTATAACTATGAATACGGTTGACAGAGAGGTTTTGATGGGAACAATGCATAAAAAAGCGGTATAAAAAATTCTTATTCGAACCTTTAAGTTTAATTTCCACATAAAGTGTACAATATATAACCGAAAGAAACGTGTCTTACCATATTGATTTAAAGGATTTTCTGCTTCATCATCTAAAAATATACACAAATAAAAAAAATACAGCGTTAAAACACTAATGAAAGTTTTATACGCCCTAAATACATCTTAACCATGATAAAAAATTTCAATAATCATGCTTTGTTTGTTTTAGATAGATGCAATAGTCTATAATAGAAGAGGTAAAATAGAAAGTGTATGTTCCAGTTATTACGATTTATGAAAAAGTAATGGGATTGAGAACATTGGATAAAAATTACATTTCGATACAAATTAAATTTAGATTTAAAACATACAAAATAAAATATTTACACTGACAATTAAATTTTTGAAAAAATGCAGCATTCAACACAGATATGAAATTATCCACATAAGTACTGTTTTATGCTTCCTCTTGCTGTACAATCTAAACAGATCTCTGTTTTTGGTGAGTTATGTTCAATGGAATCATTACAAATATAGAGATAAAATTTGTCATTAATTAAAAATGACGAATATAAAACCACAAAATATATTCAAAACAGGATAGAGAATCTATTAAAACAATAAGTAAACAGCAAAATGATGGCTCAGCAAGAATGAAAAAAACAACCAAATGTGATTGCAGAACATAATATTTCTCACAATAAATCTGAACACGACTCGTTAAAAGGCATACGTCATTTTCTTTATTATTATCAACACCGGGGTACACTTTTCGCATTCCCTACACCTGACTGCTTTATTGTCAAGGTTACGGCGTGGAATGGCGACCCGTCTTCGTGCTGGTTATCTTGCATTATCTTTGTTTATTCGTGAATCTGTTTTTGTTTACTGCACTGACCTGTACAACTATCTAAGTTTCTTTGGTATCTTAATTTCCTGCATTAGAAGAAGTATTAAAGTTATTTTTGTCGCTAACGAGTCCTGTATAGAATACGTCAGTGTACACCGACATCGTTTGATTACACTGAACAGTGACTAAGTCAGGCCCTTTATATAGGGGCCCTCAGATTTAGCGAGAGTCCAATCGAAAATGACAGACATTCCTTTGACTAATCGTGTTCAGCTTTAATGAATTTAATAATTAGTGTTTCAATAAAATATTTTACCTAAATAAGTAAGTTGTGAAATTAAACTGCTTACCTATATTTGTAGCCTTTTTACGTTTAAAAACAGTAAAAATAACCAAAACGGAACTTAAAAACGACTTTAAAAGATTTGTATAGCAAGACTGATTTTTTTTACTTGTAAAGTAAAAATTATAATCAATGCTGATTGAATTGAATGTGTACGTCATACTAATAAGGTTTTGTAATACTTAAAAAAAAACAGTTACGAATTGTGCTTTCGTGATTTTTTATGATTGAATATCTCTGAAAACATATAATGAACAATCATTTTCTTTACGACTACTGCGTGAGTTCTTCATTGACAATACGTCAGCCGTATTTGAAATTTTGTTGTCCGTTAAGTATGCGACTTCATTAGCCGAACTGTTTTTGTATTCCTTTGAAGTAGAATATATTGCAGATTTCTACGAAAAAACACTCGACAACCCTGGTTATAACAAATAAAGATAAGCAAAATTTGACCAAATAACAAGTTACCTTTTGCTTGCTCTTAAAATATAAGTAGCGTATTTGTGATTTACATAAAGCAGTAATTATTTATTCAGTGGGTTGGAAATATTAACATTGGTTTTACCGATGAGGAACCCATACCTTTAATTCTATAGATGATCACTATAGCCAATACTAAGAGAAAAATTATGAACACCACTGCAGTCAAAATGATTTGATGGGTGATAGTATGTTGGACATCAGCTATAGTGATTGCTTCGGTACTAATGCCATCGTTGTAGTTTTTGGAAGTTGTCAAATCTAACGTCGATCTAAAAAATTAATTTGAACCCATAAGGTATGTACAGATTAAAAGAAACTGATCTGCATTATTTCACATTACATCTGAAAAATTTACGATGACCTACAGTATAAGGATTTTTCGAGGTTCGAGTGTTTCAGTTCTTGAATCTTTTCATTAGAATATTAAATCTCGTATTTCAAACCCAGTTTTTCGAAACTCCAGTCAAAAACATCAAGGAAATAATAATGGCGAGTGAAACATATGGAGATAACGAACAGTATTTAAGATCAAAACCCATAAAACAATACAAAATATGAGCGGAGCAAACACGGACCTCCAAAACATCAGAGGTGGGATCAGGTGCCATGTAGGTGTGAGCATACCCTGCCGACCGGTCACACCCTCCTTGTCATGATCGGGAAATAACGGAAAAAATCCGAGGCTGTTTATATTCTTTTTTTACAACTTTACAACTATAAACAATTTAGAAATTGTTCATAGGTAGAGCATGGTCTTGCGAATCAACTGAGATACATAAACTCCTGCATTTAGATATTACATGGTTTTAAACTAGAAGATATTGTTCCTTAGCTATGAAAGGATATAGAGAGAGGAAATTTATTTTCAAAATGTTGACGTGATTATATATATTAAAAAATAAAGAGAGAAAAAGAGGGAAAAAAACATAATTCTAAAATTTTTTATCTTACTCATCGCTCAACACCGGTCCCGGTAGTCCAATGGCACGGTGTTTGCTTCGTTAAAATACATCCGGGTTTGATTCTTTTTCTCATTCACAGAGTCGCATGAAAACCAAGTCGTAAACATAGGTAGTTTTTGTTACGTCCCAAGAGCTTGTCACTAAAAACGAAATTTATATAGGTCTTTCGATTGAAATCTACAAAACTTTGTTCTTGTGTTATAGTAGGCGCTGGAATCATAAAATATCCAAACTGATCAAAGAATCCGAGTACAAGGAACATATCTGAATTTGAAAATTTTCTCCGTCAAATGGTGACAGTTTGATTTTTTTAGAATAACATAAATGTTTACTCTACAAATTCCGAAACTAAGTTAAAATCCTTACGAACAGAAATACGCAGCGGGTCCTAGTATTACCTAGGTCACATTTCCCGGCCGGTGGCTGTAGACCGGTGGTAATCGGTCGTAATCCGTGGTGTGAGCGATGCCCCAACATCGCTCTACATCGGCCTAGTCCTTAAAGTATCAATCACATTATCCAGCGATGGGGTATACGATGGGCAACCAATGCGTTTTTTATAAAAATGGCTTGGTTTCCGGCCGGACTCACAAAGGGCCCCAGCGATCCATTGCTAATCATAAAATGATGTTCCATGGGAATCGGCCGATGTATATTACATTGCTCATACATTGGTGAACATCGTTCGTATACGTCGATCGACTATGGGCCAATGTTTGAACGAATGTCTGTTGCCCACCACTCAACCCCCCGATGACCTCAGATTCAACGGACACTTGGTGATGCTCGGCCATACATCGGGCAATCCTTGAAAGATGTGTTTAAGATGGGTTGCCGATGAGGAGCGATGTGGGGCATCGGTGGAGACATCGCTGATTTTTAACTACAATTTATTTTCTACCGATGACCCCACCCAGGCCTCAGTGCTCGTCCGATTACTATAGGTGTCCGGCCGGCAACCACGCCATTCTTATCAAAAAACGCATCGCTTTCTCATAGTATACCCCATCGCTGGATAATGTGACTTACTTAAATTTGCTATTGAGTCTACTTTCATTAGTTTACTATTTACTAATGATTATTTTCACTGACTTGTTGATTTAATTATCGTTAGCTTCTCTATGTATCAGATAACAATAAATAACACTAGTTTAAAGTGATTAATTATATAAAATTAATGTTCAATTGTACTTCTAGTAATCACGCGAATAAAATCTCCACTTAATTCGTGATTTTAATATACATCTGATACATCTAATCCATCTTAAGTATCAGTCACATTATCCAGCGATGGGGTATACGATGAGAAACCGATGCGTTCTTTGATGAAATTGGCATATTTGCCGGCCAGACACCCATAGAAATCGGACGGTGACTGAGGTAAGCGGGCGCATCGGTGGGGTCATCGGGACAATTTAAGTTGTAGTTAAAATTCAGCCATGTCTTCACCGATGTCCCACCTAGCTTCTCATGGGCAACCCATCATTAACACATCTTTCAAGGATCGGCCGATTAAAGCCGAGCATCGTCCAGTGTCCGTTGAATCTGGGTTCGTCGGGCGGTGAGTGGTGGGCAACAGACATCGGGCGATCATTAATGTTGGGGCATCGCTCACAACACCGATTACTACCGATTACCATCGGTCTACGGCCACCGGCCGGGAAATGTGACTGAGGCTTTAACAAAGTGTCAAGGTCTTCTTTTTTAATGTCTTTGCGTAATCTTCTACAGAATCGGCAATATCTTTGAAATCACGACGCAAGTTGAAAGATAAGTGTTCCCTATATTTATGACGTTTTTAAATGTGATTTTGTTCCTCATTATTTACTATGTTTATAAACCAGTAATAACGTTTCCAGTAGAACTATAGCTATAGGATGGAGAAGAACTTGAAAACGATGGAGGTTATGTTTCAGACCTAATTTTGTATTTATATGAAGCAAAAGTTGTCCAAAATCTTACACGTGAAAAGAAAAAAAATATTTGCTGTGGCCTTCAACTCGACATTTAGATATACGTATTGTCAATTATAAACGATCATTTCCATTCTACTGTCGATACGATGGAGGTCCGTGTTTGCTCTACTCAAATTTTGTATTGTTTAAACAACTTTTGAGCTTGAGTAACGCTCGTTACCTCCATATATTTCATCTGAATCATCTCCTACACATTCATTTCCTTGATTTCATGTTATTCTTGACTACAATTGTGTAAATTAACGCTCCCACACCCCCTGAAGACATCTAGTAATTATAACTATCTCTAAACATATAACAATTTTATAGTAAAGCGCTGTTTTTTTTTTAATTTTCATTTTAAACATCTATTTGCTGAATATGAACAGAACAACCGTAATTTGCTTGCAATTGTAGAATAAACAAAGGGAGGAGCTATCATGTCACTGAAACCTGTTTTGAATGCATGAGTGAACAAATCTATCCACGAAAGCATTCCACTACTGTTGGATGAAGGATATGGAGATAACGAACAGTATTCAATATCAAAGTCCATAAAACAGTACAACATTATAGGAGTAGAGCAAACACGGACCTCCTAACCATCAGAGGTGGGACCAGGTGCCATGGAGGAGTGAGCATCCCCTACTGACCGGTCACACCCGACGTGTGTTCCTTGTTATGATCGGAAAATAACGGAAAAATCCGTCTTTAATTCAGTTATAAATAATGGACTAGGAATTAGTATGAAAAGCATCAGTCAGCAGACCAGGGCGCCCTCAAATCAGCTTGGGACTGCTTTCTTGGGCTGCTTGGGTGTCAGATTGGGTCTGGTTGGTACTGTACAAATTGTTGTAGTTCTCACCAGACTGAATTGCATAGATACTGACCTTTCAATTGAAAAGCACACTGGATCTACAAATATCGATGTAAAATTGTGTAAAAATTCGATTTCAATGGTATTTTAATTTTTTCTGGCATATGTATCCTTAATATTTCTAATTCAAACAATCTAAAGCAGAAACATTCAAATAGCTATTTTTATTGCGTCCTTATTTGTGTACTACACGCATTTTGAAGAAAAGAATGTCTTCCTTCCAAACAATTGAGCTTAAACTTATATTGATACAGTATGATACTAAAGTTCATTTCAGCTTATTCCTGTTGCTGTATATATATGATAAAGAATTTGGAAATCAAAATTTATTGGCCTATGATCTCAATCATAGTGATAAAAATGTCCTTTACCGTTGAATTTATGCTAATAATTTTATATCTTTATGATATAGCAATAGACAGGATAGCTGTCGCTAATGTGTGTGTGACAATTTCAATTATATATATATTGTATCTTTGAGCCGGAAGGTTTCAAACAAATTAAAAGATTTTCATTGTTCCACTTGATAGCTGAATGATAATCTCGATCTCTTTCTCCTCTTTAATAACTGCATTTTATTGAAAATCAATCAGGGTTTTTAAATAATCAAATATCAGTAAAAATTAAGACAGGTTTTTCTTACTTACATTTGTATAACTCGAACGATCTGTAAACCTGTTCAGGGCATTCATTTTGACATTTCTGTGTGTCTAATTTGAATGCTCTTGAGTTGAAAAGAGGACAATTTCCTTTAATTAAAAGAAAAGATTTTACAGTATGAAATTGATATTAGTCTACTTATACAGTTCAAAGTGCAATGTTTTTTAAACGGGAAAATCATTTTATCTATTGCAACGTTAACTACTTAGAGAGGTAATGTTATAAACATCAAATAAGATATGATTTATCCGGTGAACTAGAAAATGAACAAGAACATCACTAAGCGGAGTATAGAAATCTATGCAGTATTCTACATAGATCCAAATGGAAATTACATCACTTTCCTTTTACAATTAAAGGACAAAGCACACCTGCCAACAAACATACACAATTACATTATCTATAATCTCTACAACTCCGTCGCATGGTTATAAATATATAATGCAGTCAAGTTTATTCATACCTGCTTCCACCCAGATCGGTTTTATGCAGCCTCGCACCGTCTCCGAGAACTCGTTTAACAAGCAGTGAAAATAATCACGGTTTGAACATTTTTTCGCAGACTCCGACCAGCCGTGAAGTGTCGTTGGACAATCATTCACCTTCTCTAAAAGTATTTAAGATGATAACAAAATAACATTTTGCTAGTTAGCCACTTCTTTGCCCTCACCTACTACTCCTTAAGTCTTTGCTTAAAGAAATAGAAAATCAGAAAAAAGAAACCGCGTTAAAACGACTGTACGGCGCATCTCATCAAGAGCAGACTTGTTAAAATTTTCCTATAAGATATGGATTTTTTTAATACTCATAAATGTACACACTTTTAGAAAATTACGAGTTTCATCAGTAAGTAATTCTCATTTTTTCATTAAAATTATTGATTATTCATGGTACATAAATATATACTTCGCAACGTGTTCGAGGTCCCACGTTCCATGTTGTACACGCATGTGTAGTTTTCAAAACTGCATGGCAAGAGTGGCAACCCGGTAGGCCTGCTACAGTAATAAAAACGACCAAAAAGAAGAAGAAACTAAACTTAGGGCTTGACAAATTTGTTTCTTGACAAAAATTTAGTTGGAAGATTAATATAATCATTGGACGAAGAAGAAACGGGATCTCGGCGACATTCAAGTGGGGCTCGCGTAGTTTCTTCTCAGTCTACGGATTTGTTGAAACATGCTTATCACGATAGTTTTCAAAGAAAACTAATTAGCGTAAACCCAACATAAAAATGCACTTATTACATATAAAAATTATTGCCATCTGAAGTGCAAATTGTGATGGAACTACAGAAAAATATTTTGTTCGACATTTTGCGATTTTGCGATTTTACGATGACGTATGATTTGGTGGATTTTCCTTCACTGGACCCCGATACACAAAAGTCAACATTTGTACTTAATTCTGTTAAATTCGTCTAAATACAGACTAAAATGTTAACGATTATTAATTTATCTTGCTTTTGAGAATAGCTTTTATCAAACTGCTGACTTCAACTTTTTTCCTTATTCCTTAATGATATATTCGGTAAATTTGAATGAAAAAGTACATGATTTGCAGCCGTAGAGTCGCTTTAATATAACTAATGACAAAATAACCTTTTATGTTTTGTAACAAGCATTAATTTTATTCCAGTTATAAATATTTTGTTTAGAAATGCGTCACTGCAGGGATTCTCAAGGTATATGCTGATGGCATAGCTCAGTGATCATAAGGAACGAGACAGTTACCAAAAAGACCCCGTTTACAAGAATCTTGAAATCAATCACTTTTCTTTAACAGTTCTAAAACTTATTTCTCAAGAGTGTTTTATTTAGATAAATCAACATGAATTTCTAAAATCTTTCATTTTAATTTCATGTAGTGTACAAAAATTTAAAATAAGTTTATAAGAGATATAGCACAGAGCTATGGAGCCGGAATCGGATTTAATCTTCTCAATAATAGATTTTAAAAAATTCTGTACACAGTAATAATTAAAAGAAATACTAACCCATTTTCTTCCTCCAGATCTAATTCCTAAGGTAGAGAGAACATCCACAAAACTCGAGAAATTCCATTTAACTCGATTCTTGTTATCTAGTAACTCCTAATTTTTGGACAAAGTCCCATTAAAATAATTAAAATTTTCTTACACTTAAAAAGAGCTATAAATCATGCATGTGCGAATAGCATTTTTTTTAATTTTCCTCAATGATATGGTTTGATAAAATATTATCGTTATCTACGTATTAGGGCGTTCAACTGATCAAATAGTATATTTTATATCCACAAATGTTTCCTGTAATGAGAAGATAAAGTATCAAGAAAAAAAACTATTGTGTGAAAATGTCATTTATTGAACATAATAAATGAATAAAACTACAATGCCATATTACATAGACTCATATAAAGATTACATGTAAGTGGCTGGGCTTAAACATAATATATGACAAACAGACAAGTTACATATACTGACTGGTCACATGATATAATTCTTACTAAACACAACAACACAATATGAACAACTAAGACAGCTAAATGTATTAGATTGTAATTATCACGTAAACGGTGGTTGAGAAGAAGAGGTAGTTGTTGGAAAATTCATCAGCTTAGAACTGCGATTAAAAATGGCTAAAGTGAATTAACTATGAGATATGTACGACGGCGTATTCGTGCCATTTTAACAATGTAGAATTTTTTTTTAAAATCGTTTGTACGATTTATTAAATCGTTTGTACGATTTATTAAACCGTTTGTACGATTTAATAAATCGTTTGTACGATTTATTAAATCGTTTGTACGATTTATTAAATTGTTTGTACGATTTAATAAATCGTTTTTACAATTTAATAAATCGTTTGTACAATTTAATAAATCGTTTGTACAATTTAATAAATCGTTTGTACAATTTATTAAATCGTTTGTACAATTTGATAAATCGTTTGTACAATTTATTAAATCGTCTGTACAATTTAATAAATCGTTTGTACAATTTAAGAAAACGTTTGTACGATTTAAAAAATTGTTTGTACGATTTAAAAAATTGTTTGTACGATTTATTAAATTGTACAAACGATTTAACAAACAAATTGTACAAACGATTTATTAAATTGTACAAACGATTTACTAAATTGTACAAACAATTTACTAAATCGTACAAACGACTTATTAAATTGTACAAACGATTTATTAAATTGTACAAACGATTTATTAAATCGTACAAACGTTTTCTTAAAACGTTCAAACGATTTAAAAAAAAAAATTCTACATTGTTAAATTGGCACGAATACGCCGTCGTAGATATGCATACCTTAGGTATAATTTTTGTACTCTGTAATTTTGTTTATTTAATGCGTTTCCCTAGTTATATTATTTCTGTAGATATAATGAAGTTTACATAGTGTGAAAATGTACATAAGGAAAATAATTAACAACAGTTTATAAAACAAGCTGCGTTTTTATATCAAAACAAATTAAACGTTCATCACTTTGATTTTGAACAATGCAGGTGACAAACAAGGTTAACTTTTAATCTAAGTGACAATAAAAAATTCAAGTTTTATTACATACTGAATATTGTTATAAATATTTAAAACATTAATGAACAAACATTGCAAACAAACTAACTTGAAGTTTTTAGACTTTTTATAACTCTCTTTAGACTCTTATAAATAAGAGGAGAATCAGGTATCTTAAAGGAGTAAACATCTCTTGTAGACTGATCTAGCTTCCCATGTTGTCCTGGTCATAATCAGGCAAAAAAATCTATAGACAATACAATTTATGAAAAACGTTAGTCAGAATTCAACTAAATGCTTGATTGATTTATTGATTGTAGTTTTTTTAACGTCCCTCTTGAGAATTTTTTTTGAGAATTTTTCACTCATACGGAGACGTCACCGTATACCGGTGAAGGGCTTCAAGACCTATAATTGGCACTCAAGGCCATTGAGCAGTGAGGGTTCTTTATCGTACCAACACCTACCGTGACATGGGACCTACGTCTTTAAGGTCATATCCGAAAGACCCGTGACTTTCACTTTTAGTCCCGAGCGCTTGGCGAAGGAACAGTCACTACTATGTTTACGTCTTAGGTATGACGCGTCGCCGCGAACGAGAATCGAACCCAGGCCTCCCGATCACGAAGCAAACGCTCTACCACCTGTCTACCGTGACCGGTTCTAAATGCTTGAAAGATTGTTGTTCTTGATAATATATGGCATTGTATCGACTATTTAACTGACCACTGAATGTTTACTGATGTAGCATCATGGAGACCGGTTCTTCGGATGAGACTCTATACACTGAGGTCCCTTGTTACAGGAGGTGTTGGCATGCGAAAGATTATTCACTGCTAAATGGCTCTGAGTGACGAGTAAAGGTATACATTTGCAGCCCTCCACCGGCAAGTACTTCATCAGAGTGAAAATTCTCGAGAGGGACGTTAAATAACAAACAAACAATGACATGTATATATCAATATACTTTTAACACCTGCATATTAAATATATGTCTTTGAATTAATTCGACACGCAAGAATAAGTTCTATTGATGAACAATTTTTAAAACAAGCGCTTGCTCCGTAGTCGAAAGGTTGTTAGATCGAATCTCGTTTACGACTGACCAAAGTTAATAGAAAATGGGGAGCAATTGTTCCATCACCTTGCGCTGGGCACTTTGAACTGAAAGTTAAGAGTCCTTCGGATGAAACCTTTAAAACCGATTCCACATATCACGACAGGCATTTGAACAATTAAGATCCCTCACAGATTGATTTGAGTGTCTTAGTAAAGGTAAATAAATGTCTATGCATGAGTGAAAATTCTCGAATAGGACTGAAAACAACAAACAATCAATCAATGTAAAATTGAGGCAAGCTGACTGTTGACAAACAGGTTGATGAGACAGGGATATCAACAATGTTGCTTTAAGTCAACATTTCGTAAGTTTTATAGTCAGCAAATACAATCCATCATTTAGTCAAATGCTGACTGACGTTCTTCATAATAATTCTTAGGTCATCATTTACACACTGAATTTATATTTACATTTTCCCGATCTTTACAAGGAGCACATGGCGGATGTGATCGGGAATGCTTACTCCTCCATGGGACTTAATCAAACCAATGTTTTTGGAGGCTCGTATTTGCTTTTCTACTGTATTGCATTATTTAAATGAATTTCAAGCTTGAATATCGTTCGCTATCTGTATATTTTAATTAATTATGTCGTCCGTTATTTTATTTAAAATTGATAAAAGTATTAAAATGTGAACATAATATGTGTGAATTTATTATTTATCTTATTATACAAACTTAAGTCGTCTAAGAACATCGAGCTTTTTGTGAAATTGTCATTCATCTTAGTGAACAAACACAATTCATCTTGCTATGATCAATGTTTCATATACAATAGATAATAAATAATTTTTGATTAACATGTGAACTGACATGTTTAGGAATAGTCCAGCTCTCAAATCTTTTAGGTCGTAAAGTAGGTTATCAGATTATGCATTCAAGTCTTATGACCTAACGTGTAGCTAGTATCTTATCTTTTACTTGTTCTTGAATATGTCATTTATATGATATAATTTTATGCTCATATATTGACCCTTAAAAGAAAAATATGGTGTTTTCTGTGACATAAATGAAATGCTACTATGTTTTTTTTTTGGTTTTTGTTTGAAATCATAAGACTGGGTCGAATGGATTAAAAGCTATTAAAATTAAAAAACTAAACATCAGGACTCGGCACACAAAGCGCTAAAAAAGTCTATACTTAAATTTATATTTTCTAACTTAAGGATACTCAGTAGTTAATAGATAGAGTCTAAAATAACATGAACATTCCCTCATATATTTGTTATTTCTAAAAGTATAAGTAGTCACGTGTTTTCCTTGAAATACGATGTTTTTGTCAAACACTGCAGCCCCCGTATGGCAATGTATAGCG